TATAGATCATCAAACCCTCGTTTATCTCCCGCTTGTATTGATGCAACCCCCCCCCCTCTCCTTCTGTCTCCCTCTTTAATTCAAACAACTCTACGACCCCCCCCCCTCTTTCTCCCTATCTCTTATTATCCCCAGCCCGAACCACGCCAGCCCACCCCTCCCCTGGGGTTTAACTCAACCAACTTCTTTCTTTCTGTTGTGTTAGGAAACTGCAATAAACACATTTATTTTTACAATGTCTCACCTCACTTGTGTCACCTCCCCTGTATCACCACCTCCTGCCTCAGTCGACTCACATAACGAATGTGTACAAGATGTCTCACACATAACGTCTTCATGACGTCTCACATGTGTACACCCGCCTACTTTGACGCTGTGTGACGTCATAAAAGACAGCAAACAAATTTTAAAACTTAAAAATTGATTTTTTTCCCTGCCTAGACGCTGTTCTGCGTCATAGCTGGTTGATATAACAACAACAACAGCTGGCTCGTAGCCGTGTTGACGTCATAGCTGGTTGATAGTATAACAACAACAGCTGGCTTGTAGCCGTGTTGACGTCATAGCTGGTTGATATACAACAACAGCCGTGGCCTGAAAATATTTAATAGACAGTCGGACTGTAGCCCTTTGTGACTTTCCACCTAGTTTGCAGTTTCGCAACTAACAGAGTTCGCATTATAGAGTCCGGGAGATCTAACAACCAGAGGCGTAGCTAGGGGGGGGGCGGGGGGGGGGGGGGGGGCGGCCGCCCCGGGCGCCGACCCTATGGGGGCGCCAAAAGGGGTGGGAAAACTTTTTTAAAGCTGATTTTATGCTGCAGTTTTGAATTATAAACTGTCTAAGTTAAGAAATGTAATGGCAACACGCATTTACATACTGATTTAACTGTTTTCTATCTTGATTTCTTAATGTAAAACATATACTCTTAAGAAACAGTGACCGGCAAAACCGCTTTGAAGCTTTTCCTAGATGGGGGGGGGGGGCGCTTTTTCGACTTAAAACGGAAGAATTTACACTAGATTGTTGAGTCGATAAACGTTACCACTATTAAAAGAAACCAATTGTATTAAAACGTATTGTACGATTGTTGAACTGTAAAATACGTTAGTGACTTTTATCAAGATGGTGCAGGGGGCGCTTTTAGGCTAAATAAAATAGCAAAATTACACAGGATTCTGAGTAAACAACCTTTAGCTCTCAGAAACAAACGAATTGTACTGTGCATTGTATAATTGTGTAACATTTTTTTTAAAAAAAGTTAGTTACGTTAAAAACCGCTCTACAAACTTTGTCCAAGATGGTTGTGATGAGTGTGTGTGGGGGTGGGGGGGGGCCGCTTTTTTCGCTAACAAAAATCGCAAGTATTTGTACTGGATTGGTGAGTAGATAACTCTCTTAACACTTAGTTAAGAAACCAAGTGTATTAACGCGTAATGTACAATTTCAATAGCCAGTTTTGTTTAAAAAAAAAAGACGCGACTAGTTCTTTGTAAGATTCTTACGATTCTCTCAACTTCAACGTGAGAGATCAGATACTTTTGATCAGTGTTTCTTCCAGACTTTTTTCTCCGGGGGGGGGGGGGGGCACTTGAAATCTTCGGGGGTAGGGGGAGGCGGTAAACTTTCTTCGGGGGGGGGGGGCGGACACTGTTAAAAGTATATATTTTCTATATATAAATTATATAAATTTCATTTCGTTCGGGGGGGCGTAAAAATTTTTTTTTAAAGTTTTAAGGAATGAAAATCATACAATGTAATTATTAAACCTTGTCCGGACTGTAGCATACACGCTTACACACACGCTTACACACACAAATACACTCTTACCCACACACAAGCTTATATATAAACACACTATCACACACACATAATTATACACACACACACATATATATATATATATATATATATATATATATATATATATATATATATATATATATATATATATATATATATATATATATATATATATATATATATATAAGCGGGGGGGGGGGGGGCGCCAAATTGAAAGTTCGCCCCGGGCGCCGGGAAGGGTCGCTACGCCTCTGCTAACAACGGTACTAGAGACCCTTGCCCGAAATATTCCCTCAAACAATCGGCCTTAAAGCCGGTATTTATGCTGAAAAGTCAGCACAATTTAACACTTATGTGATCGCGGGTATTTTGTAACTATGAAAGTTATAAAACTCAATTAGAGACGTTTTTATAAAGGTGGCGTCTGGTTATGCAGATTAAAAGTAGGACGGGAGGGAGGGGGAGACGCTCAGATATCTGATGGTGTGGGGCGGGATGGGAAATATTGAATGTTGATGAAACAATGTAAATCGTGATGTTGTGTCTATTTGTGTCTCTAGTCACGTGATAATTGACCTGGATTCATGTACTCACCACAAGTCTTTGTGTGCAAATGTTCTGTTGTGTCAGGGGCGTATCCACGTATTAAGGCGACACAGGGGCGTATCCACGTATTTATACGTCACAGGGGCGTATCCAAGTATTTACATGACACAGGGGCGTATCCACGTATTTAGGCGACACAGCGGCGATTCCACGTATTAAGGCGACAGGGCAGTGGAGAGATAGACATGAATAATATTTTTTAAATACAAAATATGTTTTGAAATATTTTGTTAAGATACTACTATAAGTAAAAATAATAAAACCCGCAATGCAAGTAATACTCCAGCATCCACTACTGTTCACATACTACAACATCCACCACTGTTCACATACTACAACATCCACCACTGTTCACATACTACAACATCCACCCACTACTGCTCACATACTACAACATCTACCACTGTTCACATACTACAACATCCACCACTGTTCACATACTACAACATCCACCACTGTCCACATACTACAACATCCACCACTGTTCACATACTACAACATCCACCACTGTTCACATACTACAACATCCACCCACCACTGCTCACATACTACAACATCCACCACTGTCCACATACTACAACATCCACCCACTACTGCTCACATACTACAACATCCACCACTGTTCACATACTACAACATCCACCCACTACTGCTCACATACTACAACATCCACCACTGTTCACATACTACAACATCCACCGTTGTTCACATACTACAACATCCACCACTGTTCACATACTACAACATCCACCCACTACTGCTCACATACTACAACATCTACCACTGTTCACATACTACAACATCCACCCACCACTGCTCACATACTACAACATCTACCACTGTTCACATACTACAACATCCACCCACCACTGTTCACATACTACAACATCCACCCACTACTGCTCACATACTACAACATCCACCCACCACTGTTCACATACTACAACATCCACCCACTACTGCTCACATACTACAACATCCACCACTGTTCACATACTACAACATCCACCCACTACTGCTCACATACTACAACATCCACCACTGTTCACATACTACAACACCCACCACTGCTCACATACTACAACATCCACCACTGCTCACATACTACAACACCCACCACTGCTCACATACTACAACATCCACCACTGCTCACATACTACAACATCCACTACTGCTCACATACTACAATATCTACCACTGTTCACATACTACAACATCCACCCACTACTGCTCACATACTACAACATCCACCACTGTTCACATACTACAACATCCACCCACTACTGCTCACATACTACAACATCTACCACTGTTCACATACTACAACATCCACCCACCACTGTTCACATACTACAACATCCACCCACTACTGCTCACATACTACAACATCTACCACTGTTCACATACTACAACATCCACCCACTACTGCTCACATACTACAACACCCACTACTGCTCACATACTACAACACCCACTACTGCTCACATACTACAACATCAACCACTGTTCACATACTACAACATCCACCCACTACTGCTCACATACTACAACATCAACCACTGTTCACATACTACAACATCTACCACTGTCCACATCTAAAACAAAACGCAGCTCTGATTCGCGCTAGAGTATATTCTATTTTACCAGCTGCCATAAATTTCTAGAAAAGTCTATTTAAAGTCTATTTAAAAATTGCTGCTTTTTTGTTTTTTAATGTCATTATCTATTTGCTAGTTTGCCTTTATTTTTTTCAAATTTATAACAAAGATATTCAGAAGCAGAAATTAGGGAATTAATTATAATATTTTACGACCTTGATATTCGTTCGATAATATTAAAAATGATATTTTTTAGCCCTTTAAGGGGATATTGATCTGGCCAAACCGTGGCTTCGATCTAGGGTAGTCGGAGAACAAACAGATCCCATGATCAATTTTTGCTCCATTCCACTTGGACTGGGGGCTGGTACAAAGTCTGGAGTTGTGCTGGTTGAAACAGAGCAGGTTAATGAACTCATCGCACTAATTGACCCGCTGAAACATATCTGAGATAGATGTTTGTTGTGGGCAGTGTGGTGGGGGGTGGGGAGGGAGGGCTAGGGTGTCGTCAGTGGGGTGGGGTGGGGAGAGCTGGTGTATGTAGGGTGTGTTCAGTGGGGTGGGGGAAAGGCGGGTGTATGTAGGGTGGGGTCAGTGTGGTGGGGGTGGAGAGGGAGGGCTGGTGAATGTAGGGTGTGGTCAGTGTGGGAAAGGGTGGGGAGGGAGGGCTGGTGAATGTAGGGTGTGGTCAGTGTGGGAAAGGGTGGGGTGGGATATGATGGCTAGTGGGTACTTGCAGTGCCCCATTCTAAAATTAGAACCACTGTAAGCCAATACACAATTTATGTGGTCAAATACACGCTTATTGTAATCAAGTAGTTCATATAATGTAACCAAATGCACAATCAAATAATTAAATTATGTATCTATTATCATATATTATATTTGATACATCTTTTTCTGATCATTCATTCCATGACCTAATGACCTCACCCCAACCCCCCATCAATGGACCTGTTATTGACCTAGCATCTGTTGACTCTCTCTCTCTAGGATCGGGCTGTGAGGGGCTGGGGTCCGCTAGTTTGATGTGGCACTACGTAGCCGCCCCTGCGCTCCTGCTCAGACTCGAGGATTGGCCATTGACGTGGCTATAATGTCTGTCATTGGATATCAGTGGTCACGTGATCCGTAGGGTAAGTCAAGTTTCATTCTAATAATACACCAACCCGCGACTCACACAAACACTTTATATATATATATGTATATATATATATATATATATATATATATATATATATATATATATATATATAACGTAGAAGATACATCGATTGCGTGGGTGAGTGGTAGAGCGCACGTTTGTGTACCAGGGATTCTCAGTGCTTTATCAGGCGAGCGCCATAAGGACATCCTGAGTCTACCCAGATTTAATGGGTACCCAACAGTGGGACCAGATGAACTCCACTTGCACGTGGACTGTTGATATAAAGAGTACTTTACACGTTCGCCTAAATACCGACACCTTCAGTAACAACTTCACAACACCATTACGAACACCAACACCATCACCAACACCATTACCAACACCAACTCCAAAACAACCAACAACACCATCACCAACAACATCACAACCTTGTTAAAACAATTGAGCTTAAAACTTCAGACTATAATGCCTGACTTAAAACTTCAAACTATAATGCCTGACTTAAACCACGAACATCTCTATCAGTGCCACCACTACCGTCGCAATCGGCAGCTGAACGAAAAAATTATTTCAAGTTTTAAATTGTTTCTAGTAAATTCCAAATGGGTGGGGCTAGATTGACGTCTTTCTAATGCTTGAGAGTGGAACGATCAATGTCTTTAAGAGTTGTAGAGAAATGGGTAAAAACACATCTTCCACACTGGTGTCGTTATTCCTGACGTTTATTTCCTTGTTAGGTGTGTCCTAGTTAGGTGTGTCTTTGAGTACATCCACTCTAACCACAGCACCTCCGGCCATCCATACAGCACCTCCAGCCACACGGCACCTCCATCCACACAGCACCTCCAACCATCCACACAGCACCTCCAACCATCCACACAGCACCTCCAACCATCCACACAGCACCTCCAACCATCCACACAGCACCTCCAACCATCCACACAGCACCTCCAACCATCCACACAGCACCTCCAACCATCCACACAGCACCTCCAACCATCCACACAGCACCTCCAACCATCCACACAGCACCTCCATCCACACAGCACCTCCATCCACACAGCACCTCCAACCATCCACACAGCACCTCCAACCATCCACACAGCACCTCCATCCACACAGCACCTCCATCCACACAGCACCTCCAACCATCCACACAGCACCTCCATCCACACAGCACCTCCAACCATCCACACAGCACCTCCATCCACACAGCACCTCCATCCACACAGCACATCCAACCATCCACACAGCACCTCCATCAACACATCACCTCCAACCATCCACACAGCACATCCAACCATCCACACAGCACCTCCATCCACACAGCACCTCCAACCATCCACACAGCACCTCCATCCACACAGCACCTCCATCCACACAGCACCTCCAACCATCCACACAGCACCTCCATCCACACAGCACCTCCAACCATCCACACAGCACCTCCAACCATCCACACAGCACCTCCAACCATCCACACAGCACCTCCAACCATCCACACAGCACCTCCAACCATCCACACAGCACCTCCAACCATCCACACAGCACCTCCAACCATCCACACAGCACCTCCATCCACACAGCACCTCCATCCACACAGCACCTCCAACCATCCACACAGCACCTCCAACCATCCACACAGCACCTCCAACCATCCACACAGCACCTCCATCCACACAGCACCTCCATCCACACAGCACCTCCATCCACACAGCACCTCCAACCATCCACACAGCACCTCCAACCATCCACACAACACCTCCAACCATCCACACAGCACCTCCATCCACACAGCACCTCCATCCACACAGCACCTCCAACCATCCACACAGCACCTCCAACCATCCACACAGCACCTCCAACCATCCACACAGCACCTCCATCCACACAGCACCTCCAACCATCCACACAGCACCTCCATCCACACAGCACCTCCAACCATCCACACAGCACCTCCAACCATCCACACAGCACCTCCAACCATCCACACAGCACCTCCAACCATCCACACAGCACCTCCAACCATCCACACAGCACCTCCATCCATCCAACCATCCACACAGCACCTCCAACCATCCACACAGCACATCCAACCATCCACACACACCTCCAACCATCCACACAGCACCTCCATCCACACAGCACCTACAACCATCCACACAGCACCTCCAACCATCCACACAGCACCTCCAACCATCAACACATCACCTCCAACCATCCACACAGCACCTCCAACCATCCACACAGCACCTCCATCCACACAGTACCTCCAACCATCCATACAGCACCTCCAACCATCCACACAGCACCACCAACCATCAACACATCACCTCCAACCATCCACACAGCACCTCCAACCATCCACACAGCACCTCCATCCACACAGTACCTCCATCCACACAGCACCTCCAACCATCCATACAGCACCTCCAACCATCCACACTGCACCTCCAACCATCAACACAGCACCTCCAACCATCAACACAGCACCTCCAACCATCCACACAGCACCTCCAACCATCAACACATCACCTCCAACCATCCACACAGCACCTCCATCCACACAGTACCTCCAACCATCCACACAGCACCTCCAACCATCCACACAGCACCTCCAACCATCCACACAGCACCTCCAACCATCCACACAGCACCTCCATCCACACAGCACATCCAACCATCCACACAGCACATCCAACAATCCACACAGCACCTCCAACCATCCACACAGCACCTCCATCCACACAGCACCTCCAACCATCCACACAGCACCTCCAACCATCCACACAGCACCTCCATCCATCCAACCATCCACACAGCACCTCTAACCATCCACACAGCACCTCCATCCACACAGCACCTCCAACCATCCACACAGCACCTCCAACCATCCACACAGCACCTCCAACCATCCACACAGCACCTCCATCCATCCAACCATCCACACAGCACCTCTAACCATCCACACAGCACCTCCAACCATCCACACAGCACCTCCAACCATCCACACAGCACCTCCAACCATCCACACAGCACCTCCAACCATCCACACAGCACCTCCAACCATCAACACATCACCTCCATCCATCCACACAGCACCTCCATCCACACAGCATGCACCTCCAACCTTCCACACATCACCTCCAACCATCCACACAGCACCTCCAACCATCCACACAACACCTCCAACCATCCACACAACACCTCCAACCATCCACACAACACCTCCAACCATCCACACAACACCTCCAACCATCCACACAGCACCTCCAACCATCCACACAACACCTCCAACCATCCACACAGCACCTCCAACCATCAACACAACACCTCCATCCATCCACACAGCACCTCCAACCATCCACACAGCATGCACCTCCAACCATCCACACAGCACCTCCAACCATCCACACAGCACCTCCAACCATCCACACAACACCTCCAACCATCCACACAGCACCTCCAACCATCCACACAGCACCTCCAACCATCAACACATCACCTCCAACCATCCACACAGCACCTCCAACCATCCACACAACACCTCCATCCATCCACACAGCACCTCCAACCATCCACACAGCATGCACCTCCAACCATCCACACAGCACCTCCAACCATCAACACATCACCTCCATCCATCCACACAGCACCTCCAACCATCCACACAGCACCTCCAACCATCCACACAACACCTCCATCCATCCACACAGCACCTCCAACCATCCACACAGCATGCACCTCCAACCTTCCACACATCACCTCCAGCCATCCACACAGCACCTCCAACCATCCACACAGTACCTCCAACCATCCACACAGCACCCCTATCCATCCACACAGCACCTCCAACCATCCACACAGCATGCACCTCCAACCTTCCACACATCACCTCCAACCATCCACACAACACCTCCAACCATCCACACAGCACCTCCAACCATCCACACAGCACCTCCATCCACACAGCACCTCCAACCATCCACACAGCACCTCCAACCATCCACACAACACCTCCAACCATCCACACAGCACCTGCAACCATCAACACATCACCTCCATCCATCCACACAGCACCTCCAACCATCCACACAGCATGCACCTCCAACCTTCCACACATCACCTCCAACCATCCACACAACACCTCCAACCATCCACACAGCACCTCCAACCATCCACACAGCACCTCCATCCACACAGCACCTCCAACCATCCACACACCACCTCCAGCCATCCACACAGCACATCCAACCATCCACACAGCACCTCCAACCATCCACACAGCACCTCCAACCATCCACACAGCACCTCCAACCATCCACACAGCACCTCCATCCACACAGCACCTCCAACCATCCACACAGCACCTCCATCCACACAGCACCTCCAACCATCCACACAACACCTCCAACCATCCACACAGCACCTCCAACCATCCACACAGCACCTCCAACCATCCACATAGCACCTCCAACCATCCACACAGCACCTCCAACCATCCACACAGCACCTCCAACCATCCATACAGCACCTCCAACCATCCACACAGCACCTCCAACCATCCACACAGCACCTCCATCCACACAGCACCTCCATCCATCCACACAGCACCTCCAACCATCCACACAGCACCTCCATCCACACAGCACCTCCAACCATCCACACAGCACCTCCATCCACACAGCACCTCCAACCATCCACACAGCACCTCCATCCACACAGCACCTCCAACCATCCACACAGCACCTCCATCCACACAGCACCTCCAACCATCCACACAGCACCTCCAACCATCCACACAGCACCTCCAACCATCCACACAGCACCTCCATCCACACAGCACCTCCAACCATCCACACAGCACCTCCAACCATCCACACAGCACCTCCATCCATCCAATCATCCACACAGCACCTCCAACCATCCACACAGCACCTCCAACCATCCACACAGCACCTCCAACCATCCACACAGCACCTCCAACCA